ATACCTTCAAATCCAGTTTCAGGTTTGAACAGTCAGCTGTTGTCTGTGCGGCAGCTGAGTAACAACTGTCTTTATATGACTGTGTTAGGACTTAGATGCACTTGACCTGCAGTGTGAACCAAGCATAGCTGTTTATGTGAATGGGATTGTTTTCAGTGTTCCTGGGTACACTGAAACATTTTCAAAATCTGAAATATTCCTGTAAAAGAAAAGGGAAAGCTGAAGGGCCCTTACATATTTTTCCATAGTACTCCTATTCTGCAGTTTTGCCTGGTTCTAGTTATAGTTTAAATATGCTGCATAAAGAATATTGCCTAAGTTTACTCTCCATCTGAGACAAAGACACATTCTGGATGTTTCTGTACACATACAGTTCTTTGCAAATGCTAAATAAATACTTTCTGCAAATTGCTGTATGGCAGATGAGTTTTGCATGTCACACTGGCTGTGCAGCAGTATAGCAAGTTCAGCTGGAAGCAGCTAACTGGGGAGAAACTTGGGATGAATTTATTGTCAGCAGCAGTCTGAGCGGCAGTGCCCTGAACTGCTGCAGCCTTTAAAAACTGCAATTATTGCAGAGGGCCTTTTGGGCACAAAGGACACCTCTGTGATCCTGGGAAGATTTGAATACTGGATTTTGGTATAGTCTATCAAAACACTTCATGTGTCAGCTTCTGAAGTACTTGTGCCCAACCAATATTGGAGAAGTGACTCTTAGGTGAGAAAAGACTTTGTTTGGAAGGCAATCGCTGCATCCTTTTCAGAAACATCTCAAGCTGAGCCATTGCATTCAAATACGAATTTTCCTGGAAGGAAGTGTTCTTGGCTAGCAGGTTTCAGAGCTGAAAACGGGCATGCAATCTGTTTAGCATTAGAAACGCTAAATGTAGTGCAGGTGCTAGAAAACATTCCCAGCTTGACAGAAATGAAAACCTTGTTTCAAAGCTAATGTCAGGGCCTTAAAGGCACTAATAGGCCTTAACTGCCATAAACAGCCTCACCTGGAGTCTCCACCCACACATCTGCTGCCCATTGCCCCAGGAGCTTCATTTAAGCTCAGGCTGGGACATAGCAGTGTTTTTTTTTGGGGCTATGCTGTAGGTGTGCCTGTGCTTCTGTATGGCTGTACCACTGAGTCCATGCCACTTCTGTTTCCTGTAGTGCTGGGTTATTGATGGGGTTTCCTTGCTGGCCCCTGGACCTCAGTCCTTGTCTCTTGAACAAGCCTGTGTTATAGTACTGTTCCTGGCTGGGCTTCCTGAATGGCCCCTGGACCTTCCTTGCTACCTCTCCTTGTGTGATGACCACTGAATAGTTGAAGGATCTGGTCACCCTCGTTGCCCCAGCCCTTCTCAGGCACCGTAGGAGCGTGAAGTTGGGTACCTACCTGTGTTGTTGCCTCTCTTGTAGGGAGAGCAGCCCTGCTCCTGCTGATCCCTAGCAGGCAATTGTTTTGTTAGGCAGCATAAAATATTGGTTCTTGCAACAACTCTGGTAAATTTTATGTTTTTATTCTTATAAAGTGATTCCCATTTGAAATTCAGATTTCAAATGAATTTCATTTCAAAATTTAATGAAACCTTGCATAAAATGTAGTTTTATGTAGGTTACTACAGAACTTGGTGCTACTGGATGTTGTGTGTAAATGATTAGCCAGTATGATTATAAATTTGGCCCTAAGAGTGTGCTTCACTTCTTATATCTGTTGCTTCTATTCTAGGCTTATTGTTCTTGTTCTTTGCGTCCTAGCATCAAGCACTAATTCTTCTCTTCTGCTCGCTAACAAAAGTTTGTCATTAGCATTTATTGTTGTGGTGGTTTGTAGGATTAACGCAGCAGAGCTCCTCAACATCAGGCACGAGGTTATTGGGAACTTTGCAGGCAAGCCTCTTTCTTCTTCCATTCATGGCACCAAAAAATGTGTCAAGGGGACTTGATTCAGTGGCAATTGAAGAGATTCCCATAATCAAAAGAAGCAGGTATGCTGGTGGTTTAATCTACTATGCTGGGTGAAAAACATACTTTCTCTTCTGGAAATCCCAAAGTCGTGTCCTAGGACAGGGAAAGTCAAAGTCCATCTTTCCTATACCATCACCATTAAAGTTTTTTTTTGCAAGATTTTCAATATGTCCTTGGTGTTGGGTTTCACTTCTTTAAAGAAACATTTGTAGCAGATTTGAAGATCGTTGCAATATAATATCATGGAGTAATATGATTAATTATATTAGGAAGGCTGCATGGGGTGCTGGGGCTTGAGGCTGTTGCATGGAGTTCAGAAGTGATAGGATCTTGCCTTTCCTATAGATGATAATTTTCAATGTACAGGTTCTGGGTGATGCCATGTTCTAGCTCACTTCCTAAACACATGATATAAAATGCAGCCATTATCGAATTGATTAAACTCTGAATTAGCCTTGCCCATAGTACAGAAGAAAAAAATCAGCAGTGAGGGTTTCTTGTTTCAATTTTTTTTGATTTTATTTTTATTAAGGTGCCTTTTGAGCCGTACAAGGTAGAGTATTTTAGCTGTTTGACTATATCCTATACTAGCCTTTTTTTGTTGTTTCCCTCAAGGATCCTGAAACCAGCTTAATGTGGCAACGTGGCAGACAGTTTGTCTCAAAATGGGGCAAATTGCAATACTCATATAGGAAAAAAACAAAGCATAGGATATACTTGAATTAACACGAACTAAAGTTATCCTTTGGGAGGCCTGCGCTGAAACGTAGCATCCTTATAACAGTACAGAGCTTTTTTTTTTTTTTTTTAAATAACATATTAGTGTAAGCAACCTAATTAATAGGATCAGAAACATTCAGGTTGGAAAGGACCTCAGGAGCTCTGCAGTCTAACTTGATGCTCCAAGTAGGGTCAACACTGAATTTAGACCAGGTTACTGAGAGATCTGTCTAGCAGGGTCTTGCAAATCTCCAAGGCTGGAGGTTTTGCAGCTTCTGTGAACAACCTTTCCAGTGCTTAGGTGCTTATTATCTTCAGATCTGCACCTTCTGCTCCTCCTCTCCCTGGTATCCAATTGGGACTTCCTGATTTCAATTTGTGATTATCTCCTGCTATGTACCTCAGTAAAGAGCTTGGTTCCACCTTTTCAACAACATCCTTGTAACTACTAGGAGGCTGGTGCTAGGTCCTCCTTCCAGGTTGAACGAGTCCAATTCCCTCAGCATCTCCTCACAGCTCAAGCGCTTCAAAACCTGACCTCTGCTGAACTCGCTCTAGCTTATCAACACACGTATTGCACTTGGTGGCAAAACTGCATGCATGATTCCAAATGTACTGTAATGAAGTGGAATAACCATTTTTTCTTGGTTTATTGTTGATACAGCTCAGGATGCTGTTATCCTTCATCTCTGCCAGCAAAATTGCTGGCTGCCATGTAGCCTTCTATACACCAGGCCCCCTAGGCCCTTTTCAGAGCCGCTACGCAGTCAGTACCCAGAGTGATGCATGGGTTTAATCTACCTCACGTACAGGACTTAATATATGTTCATGTTGGATTTTGAGATTCCTGTTGGCCTCTTCTAGCCTGTTCAGGGGCCTTTAAATAGCAGCTTTACTTTCAGGTTTTTTGACTGCACCCCTGGTTTGGTGTCATTTGTGGACTTGATGAGGTTTATTTCCTTTCCTCTTCTGGGACATTGACAAAAATATTAAAGAAGAGATGTTCCAGGGTAGACTCCTACGGGACCCTGGTTGTCACTGGCCTCCAGGCTGGATATGGTCTCTGCAATTCTGATAAGCTCTTCCTCACGTGATTTTTATTTAAAAAAAAAAAAAACCCTAAAGTACACTAAGTATTATTGGTATACTTACATTTGTGTGCTGAAATCTCATTATTTTAATAGTACAGCCCCCAGGGATGTTAGTCTGTCATTTGCTCTGAGGTTTTTGAACTATCCTTGGCATTGGTGTTTACCTTATTTAGAAGGGTTTCCCTAGGGGATAGAAAAGTCTCCTTATGTGCAGGGCTGTTAAGATTTTATTGCTGGTTTAGGAGTTTCAGAGTTTAGATACAGACTCTTGACATGGAATCAGAAGAAATGACATCTGACAAGAGCTGTTATGCAACAGGGAATGTTTCAGGCTAGTCGGTGGAGGAAATCTCAATTTTCCTATTGTTTTCAGCATGACATTAAGAGATGGTGAAAATCGTAGTACAAGCATATCTGAAATCTGGCTTTCTGGTCTGTCTATCAGAGTTCTTCATAAAGCCTTTATGTTCACCATTTGTTTAAACATTTAGTACGTTACCAGCGTGGCAGAGATGACTGAAATATTGTCCATTGAAGTAGTGGGTACTCTGCCAACCTTTGAGGAATTAATCATCCAGAATTCAGTTATACTTATTTCTCCCCTCTGTTCTTATGACTTCTTAATTTTGCTTTTCAAACTTTTTTGGGGTGGGGGAAGGAGTATGCATTTTGACACATCTAGATTTTTTTTTTTTCCTTGAATGGTGATACTAGGAATATTGTGGTAATAGCTGTTCCTTCTGTATTTGTGTGTTTTGAATTTATGGAATGCACTTAATGCAACAGTTATCACTGGAGCGATAATCAGCAATTTCACTAAAGTGTCCGAATCTACTATAATTAATGTTATCAAATCGACAGCTTTCTATTGCAGCATGTAAGTTATACAGCTGTCAATGGCTTTACATGAAGCATTCACTATGGCAAGTTTTTTTTTTTGAAATTAACTGAATTTCAAATTAATTAATTAGAAATGTGAAATTTGAAATGTTGAGTTTTACCTATTGATTTAACAGCATTCAACCTTTTTGTCATTTTGTTCCTTGTCTCTTAAGTCATTGAATGCAGAAATATGACATTTGGAGAATGTTCTCTGCTTGAATAGGAAGAACAAACTGGTTAAACACAAAGTACCTGTGAGGAAAAATATTAATGAATGAGAGAAACAACACTAGATTTATACTTACAGATCAACTTGAGAGGTCACCAAACCATTTTTTCTTTTTACAGATTTCTCTTGGTGCTGATTTGTTTAATATTCAGTGTACTGTCTACTATAGAGCATTATTCTGAATTTGCCACAGGAACCCTTTTCTGGATGGTAAGTGAACTTTTTTGTGAAAGACTCTAGTTGGTTTGACTAAATCTAAATTGTTTTATATGAAGAAGGGAAGTATCTTAAAAGTCCTCATGCAAAGTATGCTACCATGGACATTTAAAATGTTACCTGCTTTCACTTAACGGAAGGTCATAGTTTAAAAGGGATGACTATTTTCCAGATACGTAAACTAAGAGGATACTTAATAGATTAACTGTTTGTATAGACTTGTTTTTCATAAGGTATGAAACTTAACCCAGCAGCTCTTAAAATGGGTGCATGGTGTTCATTAGTTGCATGCAAAGTGGAACAGGATATTCCATGGGCAGGATTGTATTTTTATAATATACCTTTTCTAAGTCTTAAGGTGAAAATTGGCCAAGAATTATGCTCTTCAGAAGTATCTGAAACTCGGGGGTAAGTAATTACTAGCACACTAATCTATCAGTATGTAAGTCAGGAGCAGCTCCTGTCACACTTCTGGGCATCATAGGTTTGGTTTTGAAGTTGGTGCTTGTTAGCTCTTGCTGCTGTTAGTGAGTCACCAGTGTCTCAGGTTCTTGTGGAGCATACATGAAGTTGTGTACTTGGTATTTTGCAACAGGATAGAGTCATTCTGTTGCTTACCTAAGATCCTTTTTCTTGCTGTTAGGATTTGAAATAGTCATTTAAATAGGTGTTGCAACAGAAAGATCTGCCCGCTTGGAGTTAGATGTTTGGGGGGGGAGGGTGTTTTTACAGTGGCCAGGGATCTGAGTATTTAAGATTGAAGTGTACCTGAACCCTGTTACTAGGCCTGAGCTAAGTTTCTTAAAAATGTAAAATTCACACCTAGCAACCATCCATACGCAATTGCAAAATACATATGAAGTACTGAAGTGTTATTTCGAAGCAGGTGAGAAATAAGGACAAGTAATTTGCATGAGGACCCTAGAGAAAGTTGTCCTCTGATTCCCTTATAGTTCTTCCTTTTCCTCCAGAAATTTAAGACTAGAAATAAAGTATACTTGATAAAAATGGAGTAAATAACTGTGCAGCAGTTGTTCACAACATCTGGTTTTCTAGCCATTCAAACCCTTTGATCTTAATGTGCAGTAATCTCAGAGGTCTTGGTTTAAATTTTTTCTTTGCTAAGTGATGACTTTTAATGTGATGGATTTTGGTTGTTTACCATCTGGTTTTGAGCTACTCGTTTGTTTTCCTATGGCTTAGACTACAGTAGGATATGCAGCCTTTGTGTGCAATTGACTAAGCCATCATTAGGTTCGCAAAGTTATTTTGGGGTTCTGATTAATGTTAATTCTGTAACAAATGTTGCCTGGCCCGTAGGCTGTGTTTAGTGTCAAACAAAGTGCAATATTCTGTCTGACATATGCAGGCTTCTTGGACTTCCTTCTTAGAGGATGTAGAGCAATTATAGTTTGGCTTAACTACCACCAGAAACAATGATACTGGCAAAGATTCAGTGTTTAGCCACATGTGTAGACACATTATTATAGAAAGAAAAATAACTCAATGAAGATGTGCAGTTCACATAGTGCCTGCATAAATTGTCAGCTATTTTTATACTGTCATCATCTAACAAATGAATCGCGCGTGGTCAGTGATATTGCTGAAACAATTTCTTGGCCATCTTCTGTTACAGCCCTACCATGCAGGTACCTCTTCTGAGTTTATTTTCCCTCCCTGCAGTTTCCTTAGCTTCCTTCCTAGAAATGGCCAGCACAGAGGTTACTGTACTGCTGGCTATGGTAGTTTCACTTGCCTAGAATGGGTGGATCTTAAACCTCTGTGTCTTAGTTCTGTTCTGAAATAAATGATTTTAAGTTATAGCATCTGAAAGGTTGCTTTTGCAGCTGGAAAAATTAGTTATTTCTTGCAGTTGTGAGATTCCCTGCTTATTTAGTAGCTAAATGGTTAGATTCCTGTTTGGAGACCTTCTCTTTCTCACCTTTACCTGAAGAAATTTAAAACCGCATCTCCCACTTTACTCAGGAAAGTGCTAGCCCCAATGAACCACAGTGTTGGGGATCTTTGCTCTCTTAATCACCTTTATCCTTATAGTTTGCAACATAATTGCCTATTCAGAGAACCAGAGAGAGTTCCTTTCCTCAAAATATGAAAAAATATGCCTATCCATTCTGTCTGCTGTGCTGCTCTGCTCTCTTGAAACTTGAGAGTGGTGGAGACTGCCAGCACGTTAAGAAACACAACTAGACTATCGATTGGATCCAGTATGTAATGAATTGACTGCTCTTTCCTGTTTTAAAGAAACTGAAAATTCTTTTCATGGCTCTGTTTGTTTGTCAGTAGCTAGCAAATAGTGGTATGCTGTGCTTTTGTTTTCCTATTTGGGGGAAAATTGTTTTTCATTATATTGAGTTAAATTAAGAGTTGGGAAGGACTGACTTCAAGATTATAATGCTGAAAGTTGGCAAGATCTGACAATGGGGATAGCATTGAAGTGTCTGCATTTTCTCCAGAGAGAGTGAGATGACATGCCAAATACAATTTTGGATAATATGTATCACTGGGAGAGATACGGGACATTAGAAACGGAAGTAACTACAGGTATGTACTAAGCCACTAGTGAGTTTTAAAGACTGAATTTTTAATGTTCTTGGTAGAACAGGGTAAGGGAACTTCTTGTTGGGAGTGAAAGCTGTCATCATCCAGACAAACTATATGAATAAATCAAGGAGAATCAGGAAAGCCTTCAGAAGTGAAGTGTTTGTAGTCTGAGTGGAAAAAGGGAGCTGAAAAAGCAACTGAAGGAGCTTAGTGTGTGTGTGTGAGGAGAGCAGGTGGGTACCCACACAAAAAATACTTTTCTTCCAACTGTCTGAAAATTGAGGTGAATTTTGGAGGAAAAAAAATGATTCTTTGGCCCTCCTTTTGAATGAAGGAGGCCAATCTATTGTCTTTGAGACATTAAATATGTTGCTTAGCCACGGTTTCCAATTTAGACTGATTGCATGGCTCCCCAAATGCTGTAAATTGTCCCATGGTCCTTACTCGGGCTTAAAGGTAACTTATTCTTTGTGTTTATGCAGAAAATACATGTTGCAAATACCAATCTGGTCAGCTGCTTCCAGGTCCGGGGACCTGTACCCTAAGCAGGCCACCCGCCACAGAAGGGGCCGCCCAGCGGAGAGCTCTTTAGCAGGCCGCACCCCAATTGGGGGGGAGGAGTGTCCGCCTCATGGCCAGAGGCCCTATGATTAAGCAGGCCACAGCAGAGAGGGTGTGCTGCTTCACCCTCACAGGCTGGACTCACGGGTCCGCGGTAAGTGAGGATCCTTAATCCCTGACCTGGCCTCCCAGGTTGGGGGGGGGGGGGGGGGGGGGGGGCGAAAGGCCCCGCCCCCTCCATTTTAGGGCACATGGCTTTTTATAGCTGGACTGCGTGGTGCCCGCAGGTATCCAAGCGCTGCCATTGGTCACACTCCGGCCGGATCCGCGTTCTGATTGGTGTGTTTGGACCCGTCACCAGCCTGCGGACCCGCCTGTCGACCGGCGGCGCCCAGGTCTGCTCCCCTTCCAGAACGTTCCCCGTGACTGACAGTCACCCCCCCACCCCCACCACCACCAATGATTTAATAACATGAGGGTGGGACACAAGGGCTACGAACTAAGGGTCACACAAAGGACAGCATGATTGACAGGACAAACAGACCACAAACAAAACCTTTTTAACAGATCCGAAACAACTTTCAATCTGTTAAGGGTTCTGCTATGACAGTAGAACAGGTGGAATTGCTTGTCTTGAAATTGCAAATGCTGTCAGCTGAAGGAGGATTTTTAAAGAAAAACATTTTCCTCATACTACCAAATACTGTGCATATTCATATCACTACACAAAGGGTTTTTTGCCAGCTCTGTCTGAGATGATTTAATTTAATTGCTCTATGATAAAAGAAAAAGGCATAATCTTTAATTCCTAGAGTTTTTTCCTCCTTTGACTATTTAGCAGGCTGGAAAGTGAGAGAAGTGACAGAGGTGTGCTGGCACAGCAAAGCAGCAACAGAATAGATAGCAAAGAGGTTTGTTTTTTCTTTTTTTTTTTTTCAGGAAGGTCATGAGTTTATAGATGGACACATTTCAGTGTCCATCTATAGCAGATGGCTTTCCAAATTCTCCACCTCTTCAGTCTAAAAATTCTGGCTGAAATCCCTACGGGACCAAGCTGTTTGGCAGTTGTTTTCCTGAGTGTTTATTTTGAGCTAGGCCTGTTGTGGTAAGCTAGGATCCTTAGTAGAAGGGACTGTGAAGGAAAATGGAATATGTAGGAATGGCTGAGGAGGTGATCTAGATGTTTGTCCTACCAAACATCAGGAAATGTGCAGTTTCCTGTAAGTATAAAGTAGTAAATGAGGAAAAAAAATTAAACAGAAGGTCAGGGGCTATTTCATCATCTGCCTCCCTCTGTGACTTGGACTGTACAATTTCTGATTTAAATTTCTTTCAGCTGGAGAATATGGAAATGACTGTTCTTGATGTAAAAGTAACTGTAGACAAAAAAATGAGTTGCAGTCCTGGATGGGTTATTCCAACTGATAAATTTCTTACTGTTTTAAAATAAGTTTAGTCTAGCGCTCTCAGCTTTACAGATATTGAAGGAAATCACATTTTTCTTCTCTGTGTAGATTCCAACCGTAACACAGCTTTGATTAGATTTTTGCCTTACGTCTATCATGCTTTTTCTTTTATTTAACTTTTTTGAATGTTTTCTCTATTAAATGTAAGCCTGTCTTATCAAAGAAGTTGGCCATGAAATGACAGGTTTCAAATAGCATGTATAAATGATGTAATTGTATGTGTTTGTCCCTAATTTTTATGGCTCCATATTGGATGGTGATACCAGTCAGGAATGGATGTGTTTAGTAAGATGTCATTTATGGTGTTTGTACTCAGGAAAGCATGACTTCAGAATTGTTAAGCATGGCTATGAATACCCTTCAATAAGTACATTCCTATGCCCAGCTCATTTAGCTACAACTCTA